AGCAGCAGCAGCTGCTGCTGCTGCTGCTGCTGCTGCTGCGGCAACAGAGCAGCAGCCGCGTTCGAGCGCATTTGTTTCTTTTTGTGAAAATGTCTGTTACTGCAGCAGCAGCAGCAGCAACAGACAGCAGCAGCAGCAGCACCTGCAGCTGCTGCTGCTGCAGTATTTCCATATGTCTGCTGCTGCTGCTGCTGCTGCTGTGCCTAGGCGCGGCAGAGGAAAATGCAGGTTGCAAGCAGCAGCAGCACCAGCGTTAGCTGCAGCAGCTGCCGCAGCAGCTGCAGCAGCAGCAGCAGCAACAGGTGCAGTAGCTGCAGCAGCAGCGCACCAGCTGCAACAGCGGCAGCAACTGCAGCAGCAGCAGCAGCAGCAGCAGCAGCAGCAGCTGGTTACCGTATTGGGGGGAGGACATGTCAGCAGCTCTTTTTATATGTCGCATCGACTGCATGCGTTTAGCAGCAAAAACTTCTTTAATTCTTTTATTTTGTTGCTGGTCTCCTGCTGCTGTTGCTGCTGCTGCTGTTGCTGCTGCTGCTGCAGTTGCTGCTGCTTCTGCTGTTGCTTCAGATGCTCCTGCTGCAGTTGCTGCTGCTTCTGCTGCTGCTGCTGTTGAAATACCGGCCGTTGACTGGCTGTTGTTGCTGGTACTGCTGCTGCTGCTGCTGTTGCTGCTGTTGCTGCTGTTGCTGCTGCTGCTGCTGCTGCTGCTGGTAGATGGGCTTTCTTGGCTGTTCTGCAGAGCAAAGGAGAGGGAATGTTGCTGCTGCATACCCTGCAGCATCTGCTGCTGCTGCTGCTGCTGCTGCTGCTGAGTGGGTCTGTTTGCGTCATTGCTTCTGTCTTTCTTTTCTTTCTTCTTTTTTATATAAAACAAATAAAACAAACCCCACACCAAACCTCCGCTTGCTGCGCTTCCGCAGGCAGCAGCAGCAGCAGTAGCAGCAGCAGCAGCAGAGATGCACGTACCCTATAGTATCACCTCTATCCTATCAACTTAATATATATATATGTATATATATATATATATTTATTTATTTATTTTTATTTTTATTTATATTTATTTATTTATTTTAATATATATTTAAATTTCCATTTCGGTTGAAAGCGCGAACTGGAAATAAATAAATTTCGGCAAAGCAGACAAATTGCGCTGCAGCCATTGGGGTGTATAGGCACCTCACTCGGGTGTATAGGCACCTCGCTCAGGTGTATGGGCACCTCACTCAGGTGTATAGGCACCTCGCGCAGGTGTATATACACCTCAGCCAGGTGTACATACACCGCAGGTAGATGTACATACACCTCAGTTCTCTGTAGGTAAGCCTCTATCAGGTGTATATACAGCTGAGGTGTCTATACACCTGAAGTATATATACAGCTGAGGTGTATATGCAGCTGAGGTGTATACACAGCTGAGGTGTATATACACCTGAGGTGTATGCATGCAGGGTGCAGGCCTACAAACAGTTTGGGTGTCTATACACCGCAGGGGTATCTACACACACTGCAGCTGCACATACACCTCAGCTCTATCTATGAAATGTGTCTACACCGGTGCTGTCTATACACCCCGGGTGTATATTCACCTGAGGTGTATATACAGCTGAGGTGTATATACAGCTGAGCTGTCTATACAGCTGAGGTATACATACAGCTGAGGTGCCTATACACCTGAGGTGTATATACAGCTGAGCTGTATATACAGCTGAGCAGACGGCAATCTGCTTCCGCACGAAGCGAGCCGTGCACTGTCACCAGCTGAACACTATCTGCTGCTGCTGTTGCTGCTGCTGCTGCTGCTCCTGCTGCGGCTGCTGTTGCTGTTGCTGTTGTTGTTGTTGTTGCTGCTGCTGTTGCTGCTGCTGCTACTCGAGAGCCACCTGAGCTCCAGCAGCCTCCAGCTTGGCCTTGATTGCTTCTGCCTCAGCAGCAGGGACACCTGCAGCAGCAGCAGCAGCAGCAGCAGCAGCAGCAGAAGCAGCAAAAGTAGCAGCAGCAACAACAGCAGCAGCAGCAGCAGCAGAAGCAGATAAGAGTGTTCAGCTGTGAAGAAGAGAAAAGGAGAGAGACGGCTTGTACAGGCAAAATGAGACACAAAGACAAAAGGAGACAGCAGCAGCAGCAGCAGCAGCAGCAGCAGCAAATACAGCGATAGCAGCAGCAAAAAAAAAGGAGACAGCATCAACAAACACAGACACCACAAGACAGCAGCAGCAGCAACACAACAAAAGGAGACAGCAACAGCAACAAACCAAAGGAAAAATACAACAGCCGCATCAGCAGCATCAGCAGCAGCAGCAGCAGCAGCAGCAGCAGCAGCAGCAGCAGCAGCAGCAGCAGCAACTACCTTTTTTGATGAGTTTGGGTGCTTGTTCTACAGCACCAGCAGCAGCAGCAGCAGCAGCAGCAGCAGCAGCGTCAGCAGCAGCACCAGCAACATCATTAAAAGCATCAGCAGCAGCAGCAGCAGCAGCAGCAGCAGCAGCAGCAACTACCTTTT